AGGTACAGACAAAGAATTAGCAGTTGAGGTATCCAACTGCAGCATGAACCTCAGGAGGAGATTAGACAAATCCAGTCTGATCACTTTAGGAAATGCTGCAAAACCTTCCTATTTGGCAAAGCTTTTCCACCATAACCAGAACATCATCTGCAGCTTCAACTATTCCTCTCTTCCCTGCTTCAAAAAACAAAGAAAAAACGAACACTCAGAACAGACCTGTCTTTAGCCCCAAAAGGGAAGACACTCATTCTATGGTATTGGGTTGCAGCACAAAACTGATAAGCAGATTTCAGTAGTTGTTGAGTCATGTCCATAATGGGAAATAAATCTAAATATAGAGAGGCCTTGATATGGTTGATGGCAGGTTGGAATCATAAAGATGATTCAACAGATGGCCCTGGTTTGTTTTGACAATTGAAATATTATACAGTATGCTGGACTACACAAATGGGATAAATGGACTGAAAGTAAAATACACCAAATACTCAATATGGCCAGATCTAGTTTAAGCCACATTTATCATCTCAGTTCACTCTCAAGTCTCACTATTTAATTACTGTTAAATAAAATGTCATTTTAAGCAAATTCCTTGTAATTGCTATGTTTGGAATTACTTATTTTGCTTTTAATAATAACGTTTATGTAAAAAAACAGAAAAGCAGATGTGCTTATATTTTATCAATATAAATATATTTAACATTTACCTCTTACCCTGGAGGTTATATATTAAAAACTCACTCTGGCTTGCCATTTATAAGTTGTCATCCCTCTTTTTTACTTACGGAGATAAATTAAACAGAATTTGGCCACAATGAATTTGCATTTGAGACGTGTAAACATCACATCATAACTGCACAATCTAGAAAATATTATAGTATTTGCAAAATGGTGATCATTAACTGTACTAACATGGTCCTACTTACAGAGCTCAGAATCATCCACAGCAAATCAGGCTGCCCACTTAGGGCAGAAGATAGCTTTGGGATGCTAACTGGACTTTCAGGTGGCTTAAACAACACCGTGCGTCCAAAAACAATTATGTCAACACAGAGTTGAACTCTAATATTTTAACCCCTTTTTCTAATTCCACATCAAACAAAATCGGAGTTAGCAGATTTATTGGTGACAACTCTGGATGATTTGAAGGGGACAGCTGTTGTGTTTGTGATATAGTCCCATAACCACTGGTATTTACAATTTCTTCACCTCATTATTCAACAAAAGATTATTTCTGCTACTGCATTACAATATTTCTAAGTATTTTAAAGTTTGCTAGAGGCAGCAGCCAAGTCTTCTGCCATTTTGCATGCACCCAGTAGCCAGCAGAAGAATTCAATAAGCCTCCACTATCCAACCGCTGCCTGTTCCCTGACTGCCCCCCCCCCCGAAATTGTAAATACCAGTGGTTATGGGACTATATCACAAACTGCTTTCCAAGATGATGGCCATGGTTGTAATAGCACATGCAACAAAAATAATTCTCCATTTCCTAGGGTTACCATCCGTCCGGGTTTCCCCGGACATGTCCGGCTTTTGGGTCTTTAAATAGCCGTCCGGGGGGAATTTGTAAAAAGCTAAAAATGTCCGGGATTTCCCCCCGGACGGCTATCTAAAGACCCAAAAGCGGCTGACAGGGCAGCCGCGCCGGATTGAGCCGCTCACTTGGGGCCGCTCCGGCAGCAAAAGCCCCTCCCCCGCTTCCCCCTCCCTCCCCTGCAGCTTCAGCACGCCAGTAGCAAAACGGGAGCAGGAGCTGTTTGTGCCGCTACAAGTCAAGGGACAGGGAGCAGGGGAGGGTTGGATGGGGTGGGGGTTCTGGGGGTGGCCTGTCAGGGGGCAGGGGTGTGGAGAGGGATTGGGGCAGTCAGGGGACAGGGAGCAGGGGAGGGTTGGATGGGTCAGGGGTTCTGGGGGTGGCCTGTCAGGGGGCAGGGGTGTGGAGAGGGATGGGGCAGTCAGGGGACAGGGAGGGTTAGATGGGTTGGAGGTTCGGGGGGGGGGGCAGTCAGGGAACAGGCAGCGGTTGGATAGGCGTGGGAGTCCCGGGGATCTGGCGGGGGCAGGGGTGTGGATAGGAGTCAGAACAGTCAGGGGACAGGTAGGGTGGGAGGGGGTCTCAGGAGGGGGCAGTTGGGGACAAAGATAAGGGAGGCTTAGATAAGGGGTGGGGTCCCGGGGGGTGATTAGGGGCAGGGGTCCCAGGAAGGGGCGATCAGGGGACAAGGAGCAGGGAGGGTTGGATGGGTTGGGGATTCTGTGGGGGGCAGTCAGGGGGGTGGGAATTGGGAGGGAGTGGCTAGGGGGCGGGGCTACACCCCCCCCTCCCCCGGAGTGTCCTCTTTTTTGAAAGTTCAAATATGGTAACCCTACATTTCCTCTCCCCCAACTGTGCTAGTGAGGCACTTACCTCAAGTGCTTGGTGAGACAGTCTAATAAATAAAATAAATTAATAACACCTCAGATGTGTCTACCTGCCTTTTACCCCAAAGGAATCAAAAGCATATTACTGAATGTACATACACAACGCTAAGCAGCAGTTCAGACAGGAAGTAAAGAAGCCTCCCATTTTCAAGTGCAAGATGCAGAAGGAATCTAGGGAAAAAATAGGACATTCCCAGGTTGAAAGTCTTCCAGGCCACCTCTATCCTTGCAAAAAGTGATGGGACAAGGTAGAGCATCAGCCTGGAAAGGGTTAAGAGATCCCTGCCTATCACATGGCTGGCAAGGAAGAGGAAGCTGAAGTGTGTATCCTCTCTTCCCCTGGTTGGTGGATGCAAAGCAAAAGGCCTCTGGAGACTACATCCAGCTTGGTCCATCAAGTTGCTTTATTTTGTGTTCAAACAATAAATCGTGCCCTGAGGCAAGGACCTTCACAATGACTTGGACAGGGTGTTTGCTTCCTTTCCTGAGCTGGTAAAACAGCCCACCACCCTGCTAGTGACCTGAGATATTTAGTTAGGTGATTTAAAATGATTATATCTATACTTTTAGGATGACAATCTGACTGTCATACTGAGCAACAATGCAGGGAGCCACATAATCTACTGCTTGCTGTTGGTTTCAGATCTATGGCACCATAAATTTGGAGGGTTTATAGTTTAAAAAAAAGAAACAAAAATAAGGATTTTTAAAGCCATTGTAAACGGAGGTGACGGCCAGACTTTAAGCCTATCATTCAGGACAACATCCCTTTAACAGGTAAATTTACCACTGGCACACAAGCTTCTGTTCTTGTGAAGAATTAGCAGATTTTTAAAAATTTATTTAACAAAAGGTATCTGTTTACACTGACTTCATTGTAATGGCTTGGTGGAAGAAATGGTGTACTTTTAATAGGTGTATTTTTCTAACAGGAATACATTTAAGGGAAGAGCAGTACAACAGTGATAACAATAATAATCTTCACAGTGGAAAGTTTGTGCAGTATTTACTACTTAAGATCAGGCACTATGTTTAAGCGGCTAGCATAACAAATTAAAATTTACAAGGACAGTGCTATAGAAAATCTATTTCAGAAAAGAAGTAGACTAACAAGAATCAGACCATCAGAGTATTTCCAGAACAGAACAGAAATATATTCTATTTCATACAGCAGCTAAGAAAGAAAGCGGTATACAAAATTAAACATAAGAAGTATTTTATATATACAGGTATTCATGGGAAATCAGTATCTATTAGCACCTATTATTATCCTCAAAATCTAAGGCAAAGGTCTCAGTTGCAAGGCAACATTTTAAATCACCTGTACAACCCAGGTTCTTGCAAAAATATACTGTGGATTTAATTGACAGCCAGCAGGATTATTCTGTGCCAAATGTTCATATTAAATGCTAATTTTCTATTTTTATATAATTTTGTATACATTTTTCAAAATTATACTTATTGGAGGAGTCCTGTTCAGTAAAACATTGTGATCATAAAGGTTTCCAATTTTAGTGATGGTATAAACTTGAGAGCTAGAAGCCATATTAAAAAAAAAAATCAAATGAGGAGTGTCGACTACTGGAAATGTAAGTAAAAGTAAAATATCAGATGGAAATTGAAACAGAAAATAAGTGAATGTCATCAGATTTCTTGCCAAAATATTCAAGATTTCCCCCCCACCCTAACATTTTAAAAAAATCTGTAGGGGAAAAAAACCACCAACAAAAAAAAATCCGTGTTCTAGGCACTCAGTGTAAAGTTGATATAATCACTCAGTTCACTTATTCAGTTTTGCATATACAGACTGCCTATTATGTGATGAATTTGGTTGCAAAAAGCTGAATTTCCAAGACTTTATATGATAGTTACAACAATCATATACACAGAGTACATGTATTGTCATGCGTATCTCTTAATGGATGAAAGAGGAATATATTTATAAAAACACAGTAGAACAATAATTAGAAGCTACATAAAAGTAAAAGCAAATTATATTAAAATGAAGAGTAGGTGCTAGTGTCAGCAGCTTCAATAGTCCCCTGGTAAGCCATACTCCTTTCATCAGAGTCAATTCATTAACACAGGAGAAAAGCCAGAAACTAAGGGAAATGCAGACCATCTGCTCAATCCAGATGCAACAGAACATGCTTCTTATATCCAATGCTATTTACCAGCAACAGAGATAAAATCTGTTTAATCCTCTAATCAAAGACTGAACAAACGTCTTTTGACATCTCTGTTTCACAAATAAAAATTAAACTAAAATAATTATAATTAAAAGATAACTTTCTCACTGCATTTCACTGTTAACTTTTCTTTCTCTATATATAGAAACAATTTTAATTAACATAGATACCCCAGGTACAATAAGTAGGATCACAACAATTAAATGTATTTAAGCATTCCACAATTTTTTTGCCTCTAATTTATGTTTTTAAATGTCTAATTGCTTTAACTAGCAAGAATATTTTAGCTGAAGTGTTTAAGTTTTTAAAAAGCCTGCAGTCTTGAAGCTATTCTAGAACTAAAAAACATTTTCTGTAGTTATAAGTTGAAAAAAGTAGGATAATTCTTACCTTGAAATTGTGAACCTTTTCATATTTTGGAATATGTTCATTTTCTTTCAGAGTTGCTCTTCTGACAAGTGATGTCAACTGTGAATAAGCAAAGAGTTTAAGAGGTTGCCAAATTGTCACAGATGACTTCTGAGAACCCAGTTTCATTCCCAAGGCTGCTATCAATAAATCTTGTTGACGGCTCTCTTGTTTTGAGTTGTGAACTGCAGATCTATTAGCTTTTTGCCCTGACCAAGACTCTTTGGATGGCATTTTAGAATTGACAGGAAATAAAAATAAAAAGCTGTATTGATCTGTGTTCTCTGTAGATCAATCTGAATTCAAAAAACAGAAACAAACATTTCAGAAACCTAAACTGATCTGGAGAAAGACACTTTCATAGTGATGATAATGATGCACTTCTTATAAAAAGGCTGACGTAACTAGGCAGATTCTTCTTGCTTCTGTTTTTAAAGGGCTCTAATATGAGCTTGAAAAATGTAAAGGTCTATATACCAATAAAATTGGAGTTAGTATTAATGTAAGAAAGCTCAGCGTCTCTTCATCCATTTAAAAAAACATGTTATTTAGTAAACTAATGCATTTCTAAAAGCTCTCATTCCTACTCAATATACTGATGCCCATTTTGAATGAAAGATGCTCACATACTGCATATAATCAGTTTCTAGCAACAGACACTCTGCTAACCTCAGTCTAGCAAGAAGGGGGTGGCAGGGTGGGCTTTAGCAGTGAGGGATGGATTAGACTGGTCACATTACAAAGGCAGATAGCCAATGAAAAAACAGCAATAGTATTCAAGTACTGTATTCCTTAACTCACTCACTCTCCCTCCTCCCGTGTAAGACTTACTTGCTGGCTCAAGGAAAAATATCAGCAGGAAGATAATGAGCAATGAATGAGTCATGCATCATTACAAAATGGCATCTTTTTGCCATTTAAAAGCTGAGGAGACAGTAATACATTTTCATGCTTAAAAATACTGTGAAAAGATAACCCAGGAGAGACTAAAGAAACAGCTCTATTTTGTGCTAACTACGAAGTGATGCTGGCAACTGGAACCAAACTGTATTAATGCTGAGCATAGCAGTCAGTGCAGATTGTTTTTCATTTATAATGACACTATTCTTGTGTTTGTTGTGTGGAAGTAGAGCAAGGCCTGGCTGCTCTCCGACAGTTACATGTGTTTTAAAAATGTGTGTAATAAACTAATTCTACTGAGTGGAAGTGTCAGCTTTTTCTTCTCTCCAGTGGAGATCTCAGCACTTAAAATGTACCACCAAGATCTCACCTCTTTAAACCACCTTTTCCACCCAAAGATCTGGGACTAGATTCGCTGTTGCCCTGCACATTGCGTAGTTGTGCACATCAGCACAAAATGAGTGCAAAGTGGGTGTAAAATGCTACCAGGTCAGAAGGGTAGCGTTTCACACCCATTTAGCACTGGTGTAAACAATTACAGAACGCTAAGGGCACTGCAGGAGCTGGCTGCTACGGTTGTGGCCCTGCATGCACAGACTTGACCAACTAGCCAGGGTGCAATCCCCATTTACTCTTCCTCCTCCATCTAACTCCAACACCACAAGCACTCCCCCCCTCTGCAGTAGGGGAGAGAGATGACCAGTTTTTATACACCACCAGTCTGTGTGATGCCTAAGACCAGGGCCGGCTCTGGCTTTTTTGCTGCCCCAGGCAAAAAAGCCTCCGGCCGGAGCCGGGGGGGGGGGGGGGGGCGGGGGGGGGGCCGGGGCCCCGGCGGCGGGGGGGGGGGTGCCGGGGGGGAGGGCGGCCGGAGCCCTGGGAGGAGGGCGGCGAGCCCCGGCGGGGGCTCGGCTCTCCCCCCCGGCGGCCAGAGCGCCGGGGGCAGGGCGGCGAGCCCCGGGGGGGGCTGGGCTCTCCCCCCCCCCGGCGGCCAGAGCGCCGGGGACAGGGCGGCGAGCCCGGCTGTGGCCCCGCTCTCCCCGGCGGCCGGAGCGCCGTGCCGCCCCCCTCCAGGTGCCGCCCCAAGCACCAGCTTGGGTGCCTGGAGCCGGCCCTGCCTAAGACACACAGGGATGTGAAGGCTGAAGGGCAGAAACTGTGTGGAGCCAATTGATGTGAGCTTGAGAATCAAGGTGCTTGAGCAGGATTTTCTGATTTTCCTTCTTGGCCAATATCTCTTGTCGGGTTTGCAAAATATCCTGAACCTCAAATCCAGGCTGGTTTAGATGCAATACAGATGCTTTGCCCAATGCTACAGCTAGGATATTGCTTCTGAATAGCCATGAGCCAACATGTTGGCTACAGGCTGCAGTTGAAATGCAGTGGTGGTTCCTAGACTGGCCACATAAGCAGTTCAATTAAACTCAGACAGGGGATTGGTTAGCCAGACTCTGAATACTGCTGCCCAAATTTCTTGTTGGGGATCTGTTCCTGCCATCACTCTATTGAAAAATAACTGTCCAACTGCTGCCAGGATCTATCGGTTTTAACCACTCCTCTCCGCAGCGGTATCTGGCCTTAGTTTTGACATACCTAATGTGAATCGGTGTCCATTTATTGTGCTCTCTTATCTCTGTCCTGGTTTGTTGAGCCACACATAGTGGAATAGATGTGGTGGGGAGGGGACGGTCCCAGGCAGGTAGCAGTGGTTGGGAAAGGCTACCATAGCACAGATGTGGAAGCAGGTGGGGAAGGAGATGCTCACACAGGTGAGGTGGAAGCTGGATGGGCCATTCAACTCACACACTTCAGGGAGCTGAAATTCTAGGGCTTATCCCAGCCACAAATTTCTGGCTAAGATGACACATCACAATTTCACCCCTAACCTACCATACCTGGCAGCATTCACTATTAAATAATGTACAGGTAAATCCACAACAGTGGAGTACATCTGTTCCAAAGGGCTCCCAGTGACAGCCAGCTCAGCAAAGGAGAGACTGGTCCTGGGAACCAAAGATCTGTCTCAGATGACATTGTGGAATACTAATGCCAGTAGGCCAGCCAACTAGCCCCCAACTTCCTCTTCACTTCACTCACCCCTTTAAAAAAAATAAAATCACAGACACTGCTCTGAAGATGCACTGAACTAGCAAGAAAATAATATATTTTCCAGTTCCATTACTAGAAGAAATAAGCCAGCCATTCTTTAATGGTAAATTTGCACTCAGACAATTATCAGAACATGCCACTGTTAGTTCTTATAACACTATAAATAAATGATATTACTTAAGAAGTAATATAAATCATTCTGATTTTTCCTTTTCATCCTCTGGCAAAGTTTGACATACTTTTTTCTTAGCTGTCAATTTCCTTTTTTCTATTTCTAAAAGACGGATTTATTTTCAATTACACTTTAGAATCACATTAGTAGAAAATGATTTCTGGGTCCTAGAAAATTAAATCTAGAGAACACCAATAAAAAGGTAAACAAAACCACCTAACAGGGAAAGGTCACCCTCTCACTGCTGTAATTATGAAAAAGGTTTGTAATCTAAAAAGTAGCTTTAAGATAAAGTAGTGTTAGAATTAAAATGCATTGTTAGAAAAATCTACCTACAATTGGTTATTAGTCTTGCATAAAGTAGCTTCACATTGTTTATTACAAGGTTGTTTTCTGATGATTACACACACATATATATACACTATATATAGATACAAATACTGCACATACCTTATACCTGTATTTTTATATTGTATATGATGTAATACAATCAAACCAATCTAACTATGTTAAACAAAGTTGCAAAATCAGGCATTAAAAAATTAGGAAAAATAGTATGTGATCATGCAGTTAAAGACTCCTACGTATACGCATAAGAGGCCAAAATTAAGATTGCACAGGAAACCTTCATTCTGGCAGTTCCTAACGAGTACTTGGCTTTGCAACCTTAATGTTCTTTTATTGCAGTTTTTTTGTATGTTATTTCCTACTTTTAAAAAAAATGAAAAAACAAAAATTCCATTATGTGAAGCCATATTGACCCAAAGCTTGGGTCATTAGCAGGATTCAGACCTACAGACCTCTACCATACGAGCTAAAAGACTGAGTAACTATTAGTAGGCTGTTATCCTCTATGTGGACCAGCCACTAGAGTGACTAGATGAGATACACTCTTTGCCAGTGGGTTTCACAGGTATTTGCTGTATGGAAATGTGGTTTAGTGGTTACAGATCCTACTGCTCCTGTGCCCTTAGCCTGTTTGTCCCCTCGGCTCCTAGCCACCCCACCCCACCCCAGCTTCTGCCCTGTCTTCCCCTCTGTTCCTACCCTACCCCCTACCCCTCAGCCTCCTGCCTCCCTCTCCTCCTTTCTGCCCCTCCACCCATTGGCCCTGGCCCTCCCTCTCCTCTCATCCACCCCATAGCTCCTGCACCCCTCTCCCACCTCCCACAGCTCCTGCCACACTCCCCTCTGCTCCTACCCTACCACCCATCCCCTGGCTCTTGGCTCCCTCCACCAGTGTGGCCCCTTCTTTGCTCCTGCAACCATGACCTCTTATCACAGTGCATCTCTTACCAACATACAAGCATCTATAACCACTACCTAATAAAAGGGACCGTTGTGCTCTTTTTTCTTTTATTTTGAAGTCCTTTGTACTGTTGCAGTATTTGCTACTCTAGTTTTTCTTGTGACCTGGTTTTTCTAAATAAGATTTAATTGGGATATATACACTTATTTTTGCTAGTCTCAGAACCAGTGAGATCTTATTTTACTATGTATCATCTACAGAAATGTTTTGTACAGTGTTCCATGGCTTACAATGCACTCTAATGTGTCACTTTCCGAGCAGCTAGCAACAGTCATGTTATAAAGCTTATCTCAGTCACCACATAATAAAATAGGTATCATACATGATATTTTTCTAAAATGGTAAGCCAACACATTCAGTATGTGTCAAATAATAAAATAAAACTACTCAGTGGGAAATTATGATAATAGACCATTCCAGATGCATAGATAAGCTCTCTAAAATCAGAAAATGCCAAAGTCAAGCTCGTGTGGGCAACCTTTCCTCTCGCTTCCTGTGCATGTTCATTATAATAGAGTGTTCAGTATTAGGACCACCTGGGTCCTCTTTCAATTACAATATCATACTATA